GGTTGGTGGTGGTGGAGGGGGGGAGGCAAGTGGTGGAGGTCCGGTGGGCCGATGATGGTGAAGGTGCGAGTGAAAGGTGAGAGAGGAAGTCAAAAAGTTGTAAAACGAAAAAGAGTGAATTACAGCGGAAGAGAGGGGTGGCGGGGGTTGGTGGTGGTGGAGAGGGGGAGGCAAGTGGTGGAGGTCCGGTGGGCCGATGATGGTGAAGGTGCGAGTGAAAGGTGAGAGAGGAAGTCAAAAAGTTGTAATAACGAAAAAGAGTGAATTACAGCGGAAGAGAGGGGTGGCGGGGGTTGGTGGTGGTGGAGGGGGGGAGGCAAGTGGTGGAGGTCCGGTGGGCCGATGATGGTGAAGGTGCGAGTGAAAGGTGAGAGAGGAAGTCAAAAAGTTGTAAAACGAAAAAGAGTGAATTACAGCGGAAGAGAGGGGTGGCGGGGGTTGGTGGTGGTGGAGGGGGGGAGGCAAGTGGTGGAGGTCCGGTGGGCCGATGATGGTGAAGGTGCGAGTGAAAGGTGAGAGAGGAAGTCAAAAAGTTGTAAAACGAAAAAGAGTGAATTACAGCGGAAGAGAGGGGTGGCGGGGGTTGGTGGTGGTGGAGGGGGGGAGGCAAGTGGTGGAGGTCCGGTGGGCCGATGATGGTGAAGGTGCGAGTGAAAGGTGAGAGAGGAAGTCAATAAGTTGTAAAACGAAAAAGAGTGAATTACAGCGGAAGAGAGGGGTGGCGGGGGTTGGTGGTGGTGGAGGGGGGGAGGCAAGTGGTGGAGGTCCGGTGGGCCGATGATGGTGAAGGTGCGAGTGAAAGGTGAGAGAGGAAGTCAAAAAGTTGTAAAACGAAAAAGAGTGAATTACAGCGGAAGAGAGGGGTGGCGGGGGTGGGTGGTGGTGGAGGGGGGGAGGCAAGTGGTGGAGGTCCGGTGGGCCGATGATGGTGAAGGTGCGAGTGAAAGGTGAGAGAGGAAGTCAAAAAGTTGTAATAACGAAAAAGAGTGAATTACAGCGGAAGAGGGGGGTGGCGGGGGTTGGTGGTGGTGGAGGGGGGGAGGCAAGTGGTGGAGGTCCGGTGGGCCGATGATGGTGAAGGTGCGAGTGAAAGGTGAGAGAGGAAGTCAAAAAGTTGTAAAACGAAAAAGAGTGAATTACAGCGGAAGAGAGGGGTGGCGGGGGTTGGTGGTGGTGGAGGGGGGGAGGCAAGTGGTGGAGGTCCGGTGGGCCGATGATGGTGAAGGTGCGAGTGAAAGGTGAGAGAGGAAGTCAAAAAGTTGTATAACGAAAAAGAGTGAATTACAGCGGAAGAGAGGGGTGGCGGGGGTTGGTGGTGGTGGAGGGGGGGAGGCAAGTGGTGGAGGTCCGGTGGGCCGATGATGGTGAAGGTGCGAGTGAAAGGTGAGAGAGGAAGTCAAAAAGTTGTAAAACGAAAAAGAGTGAATTACAGCGGAAGAGAGGGGTGGCGGGGGTTGGTGGTGGTGGAGGGGGGGAGGCAAGTGGTGGAGGTCCGGTGGGCCGATGATGGTGAAGGTGCGAGTGAAAGGTGAGAGAGGAAGTCAAAAAGTTGTAAAACGAAAAAGAGTGAATTACAGCGGAAGAGAGGGGTGGCGGGGGTTGGTGGTGGTGGAGAGGGGGAGGCAAGTAGTGGAGGTCCGGTGGGCCGATGATGGTGAAGGTGCGAGTGAAAGGTGAGAGAGGAAGTCAAAAAGTTGTAAAACGAAAAAGAGTGAATTACAGCGGAAGAGAGGGGTGGCGGGGGTTGGTGGTGGTGGAGGGGGGGAGGCAAGTGGTGGAGGTCCGGTGGGCCGATGATGGTGAAGGTGCGAGTGAAAGGTGAGAGAGGAAGTCAAAAAGTTGTAAAACGAAAAAGAGTGAATTACAGCGGAAGAGAGGGGTGGCGGGGGTTGGTGGTGGTGGAGGGGGGGAGGCAAGTGGTGGAGGTCCGGTGGGCCGATGATGGTGAAGGTGCGAGTGAAAGGTGAGAGAGGAAGTCAAAAAGTTGTAATAACGAAAAAGAGTGAATTACAGTGGAAGAGAGGGGTGGCGGGGGTTGTTGGTGGGGGGAGGGGGAGGGGCGAGTGGAGAAGGTCCGGTGGGCCAAAGATGGTGGAGGTGCGAGTGAAAGGTGAGAGAGGATGTTGAAAAGTTTAAAAATGCGGACAGAGAAGAAGAAGGAGGAGAAGAAGGAGACGTTTCTTAATTTTTCATTAAAATCACCACTTTTTGACCGCTTATATCTCCAGAACGGCTTGACCGATTTAAAATTTTTTTGGCTCAAATTACTCGTGGCGATGCCGCCTTTCAGGACATATGACGTTCGATTCAAAATTTTTTATATTTTAATAGTTATGCACCTCCCAAAAATGGACTTTGGTGGCTCGGGATAAGAGACTTGTAGCGTTCACAGTTTTTTTGAACATGGCCGGAGACGCTACCGCGTCTCCTGATTATCGTAAAATAGTTCATGTCCCGGTACAAATTCGGTCTCGTCAAAGTCAATATAAAATTCCTCACTTTGATAAAAAAATCTCGTTCTCATCTTCGCCACTACTATAATATTCTTCAGACATCATTGATATTTTTTAGAAATTATTTAGGGAAAAAATATAAAAAGTTGAACTTGTTCTCTGACTGGCCCTGAAACTCACTGATTCCATTCACTAAATGTCACTAACTTTGATATCACACTGGACCTGGTAAAATATCAATTTGCTGTATTTTCAATACGCATAAGTCAAGTAACTATAGCGTAATACCAAAAAAAAGTTTTTTGCAAGAAATCTGTTGATTACTTATATATCTCTTATATATATATATATATATATATATATGTATATATATCCACTATTGGATATTTATGTTGCGTGTATAGAAAATCTGGTCACCACCTAGCGGTCATTATTGTAACAATATACGATATAATATATTAGAATAAGTCTATGCTATACGGGACCTTTAGTATATATAAATAAATCATCAATGCCTTTATGAGTCCAGGTTCAATATCAGATATGTTATCAAATTAGGATACTTTCACCCTTATTTTAGGGTAGTTTTAGCAACATTGAATTGTAAACATTGAACTAATGTTCAAGAGTAAAAAATAAAACTGAAATGAATGTTGTTGAGTTTTGTAACTAAAGGGATAGTTTTACCCATATTACGGGTTGTTCTTGGATTTATTATAGTATTACCTTGGATTTGTATTCAACAATGAAAAAAAAACAAAATTTCCCTTTTTTTCCCGCATCAACAAACTAAATATCCTGATTGAAACTAATAAAGCTCTAGAAAGTAAGGGTAGTTTCACCCCGGAAGGGTTGTTTTATAATTTTTTGGAGGGTGTAAATAGTCGTAATACAACATATAGTTCTATTATATGTTTATACTATATGGTTTTAAAACACTAAAAAAGATTTAAATTCATGATCCCAAAAGGGTCCATCCCGGCCGCCTGCAGATTAAATGTTTTATTAAAAGTAGGCCCACTCAAACGGTATGGCATGTGTATTTTTGTATGTTTCGTGGTGAAAATAAGTAACGTACAAAAAAACAGCCGGTAACAAATCTTTTTTTTTTCATTAAAGAATTTACCACTTTAGCTTGATTTGACGGCCCCTTCGATCCATAAAAACGGTATGGCACGTATCTTCCGATTGGTTTTTTTGACATAAACTATCACTAGAAACATATGCCAACAGGTAACATATTAGGAAAAAAGCAAAAATTTTTAACAATTTCAATCACACGTTACCAATTTTAAAACCGCGGGAGGTTTGCCATACTTGCGTTTCCTTCATGTTTACCTAATAAATAACGAATTATGATGATTTCAAGCGGTAACAAATCATGACCATTTTAGTGTCATCATCTCCCGGACTATATACATTCAGATTTATTAAAACAATTTATTAAAACTATTTTATAAAAATAAAGGATATACTTCCGAAAGCAACACAACTCAGATTTTTTTGAAACTTGGTATACTTACGTAATTCGATGCGCTGATTACGAAAATCATAGTGAAAATTAGCGACTAGGTCATTTTCATGGTGCAAAACATAAAAATTCCATAAAAACTGTGTGTGTTCCATTCGTTATATGTATAACGATTATGAGTCTATTACCACAGTATAACCATACACAGTAGCGACACTGAGTGTCGGCACCTTTGATGTAGTAGGTTCCAGGTCACGTGGTATACCGCCATATTGTTAAATGTATCGGCGCTTCGATTAAAACGTATGCACGGAAATGCACAAGACTTCTCCTTCCTTCTCATCCCTTTTCAGATCTCCTCATTACTTCTTATTTTTTTAATTTTGTAATATACGTGCAATATCGGGTGTTAGATTATTTGTGTCCTCATATGTACGTATAGATATAATTAAAAAAATATTTTCTATGTAATTCGAATTATGATCCAGAAAATTATAATATGAAAGTAGAGAAAATAAAAAGGAATAATAAATTATTTTTAATCGTGATCTGTTATCATATACTCTTTATTAACCTGTCTCCTTTTATCATAAAATAAAATAATATAAAAAATTTTTTTACACATTTTTGAATTTTTTGTAATTTATTGTGTAAATATAACTGTGAAATGTACAAATCTCATTTATTTTTAAGTAAAAAGATTTACAAATGAAAAAATTTCTTATGCTATTCTAAGTATTTGTGTAGATATATATTTTACAGTTTTCACTAAACATGAATATTAATATTTTAAAGACATTCGGGGGAAGACGTCACATTTAAGCCTTTATTCTTGAATAACTTCTTAATGTTATTGAATTAACGACAAAATATTATTCACATTTTAGAAACCTTTTTTTATTTATACAAATTAACGAATTAAACTTTTGATATTCTGTATTAGTGGAAAAAATTGATATGTTATACCTTGCGAAAGTGGCATTTTTTCCCTTGTGCCACCTTTCCTCCAATTACCTTAATATTATTAAATTTAATAATATAAAAATATTAGTATTAATTTTTTAATTAATTGTTTTTTATGGATGTCCTTCAGTAGAATGTACTCTAGATTTGAATTTCAACTGAAACAAATGAAAATATCATATGTAATCATATATAATTATATAATCATTAATCATATAAGGTAAATGTCCCAAACTATAGATAACAAAATGCACAGTGTCACTAAATAGTACAAAAACAGCATTTATAAAAATGTAATAAATAAATTCAGAATTCCTAAAAAAACAAAAAATTAATATTATCGTAATCTTAAATGTCCAAACTTAAAAAAATTAATTTCACGTAGATACTTATTGTGACATATGTATCAATAAATTATATTCTCTTTCGCTACGAGATAACTTGGTCACTAATTGGGACATTTACCTTATAATATCATATACGAAATGCATTCACTATCATTGGTGATTATAACGTTAAGAAGTTGTGCGGCTACTGTTTGTGCCAAAGATACAAGTTCAAATCCACTTAGAACATATCAAATTTTTAATTGATCACTATCTGGCAACAGGCAATGGCAATCCATCGAGAGTACCTTTGACAAAACAGTTAACATGTATGAGCACGCATAAGCTGTATGGGCATGAATAAATAGGCAAAAAAATTAGTTTTTAACAATACAGATAATGTTATGACTATACACTACATAACAAGACAGTAGAATTTATTTCAGCAGATAACACACGGAATATATACATTTTTATAAAATATCAAATATATTTCTCTTTAAAAATAAAATAATAACTTTAATAATAAAACTATAATTATAAATGTTAATAATAAAATTAATTTTGAAAAATGCAATCGTTTTTATAAAGGTATTAAATAATAATTCGCATTCACACACAGAAAGAACGCAGAGAAAGAGAAAAAAGAGAAAGAGATACTGAATTCTAATTGTGACGTAAAATGATAGCTTTTCTGTATCCGGGCTGCGATTTAAAACTTCTGTTTATAAATTTTAATGTGTAAAATAGTCGTACACGAGCATATAATTTCAATAAGTAATCATAAGGAAAATGTTGACACGGATGACTGAATGGAACATCTTTGAAAGTGTTAATAAGTTTATAAATTACATGCTTTTGTATGATCAATTCCTCAATTTTCAAAAAAAATAAATCTTCTAATATTTTAATATACGTTACGAAATCATCGTTCGGCATAAATAAGCTTCCAAAAGGATTATTTTCAGTAGAATTTTAAGCCTTAAAAAAGCAATAATATGACGTTTGACTTAAATCTATATATGAGCGTGCATATTGCAAACAAATCTCACACGAATGTTTTTTAATACATTTACGTATTAAATATCCACAAGTATATCGAAACACATCTTGTTCATTTACGTCCATCTCACGATAATCATGATCATCCAAAAGTATTTGTTTATTATTATCTGTCTTGGATTCAACATCCATATTATTCTCCTCTTTAAAGTTTGTAATAGCTGCAAATATCTCAGCACTGTCTCGTTCACAATTTCCAGTTTTAACTGTACAATATTTTATAGAGAAAATTTTTCTGAATGAATTGGAAAACTGAATGGAAGTAGGATTAAAAGCATTGCCATTTAAACGTCGAATATCAGAGAAAAAGTGTTCCAAACAGTCCTGAGTAAAACGGCGTAATAATAAAAATTCAATTTCTGGAGAAACATTTTGCAAGTATTTCCACATTTTAAGAAGAGAATTCATATTATGTATCATGCATTTGAAAACTTTAACTTTATTGGAAATATTTACACCAGATTTATTAAATATCGTTAATTTGGATATATAGTCTTTGATTTTTGAAAGAAATTCTAATTGATATTGCGCACCCCGAAAAGCTTGTTGAAATTGTGATGGATGTTGAACCGAAGATGAATTAAATAGATCAAAGAAATCGTTCGCATTTTGAATAAATTCTGCTGTTCTAAGTGCAATTTCTGCATCTGCAGGTTTAAAATCTCCAGAAATTACCATTTTCCTCAAACTATTACTCACTGTAGAACTCAAAACTTGCGTTGCCAAATTTACTTTCATTTTTTCAAAATTCGAAAATTTTATATGTTTATCAGAGAGTTTAGGTGCAAGTCGAAATTGTCTAGTTTTATCTTGTTGAAATAAATAATTAACGCACTCCCAAGAAATCGGTTTAGAATCGTATTCGATAATATTGTCACGGAAATTATTTCTAATAGCTTTTATTATATGAGGCGTATCAAAGAAATGTGAAATTACTTCGTTATTAACAAAGAAAAATGGATTGTCGTCTGTTACACCTAAATATTGAGCAGTTTGTTTAAAATTCCCTCCCATATCTGAGACAAGCGCGAGTACTTTAAATCCTGCATTTTGCAGTTTTGCAATTATTTGAGGAATAATGATTGTTAATTTTCTAGCAGAAAATGAAGAATTAAGCAGGAAGTAAGCTAAAGGTTGTTTCCAATTGATGCAAATCCCTCGGATCATTAAGGTTGCAACATTACATGCTGGAAGAAATAATTTGTTATCTCCTAAGTCTTCAAACCCAATGACTTCATCCCGACTGATATTATAATACAGATTTGCTTTAATTGATGCTTCATCAATGCATAAAATGCAATATTTATCAAGAGGTGACGAAGAACACTTCAATTTTTCCTTTAAGAAATCAAAAACAAAATCATGCAAACCTGAAGAAAATTTCAAATGTTCAAGCATGCGTTGTAAAGTTCTAAGATTAGGAAGAATAAACTTTTGTGCAAAGAAATTATAAATCTTATTTCCCCCACATAACAAAATATCTAAACAAAACTTTTTAAATGGAAGTGAATATTTTCGTCCTTTAGCTGACTTATATTTATTAAGTCGTACTTGAGTTTTCACAAAATTTGCAACTTGTGGTGATAAAAATTCGTTTGTAGCTTCACAATATTCTTCTAAGGAAATTTTCCTCGCACAAATTTTTATATTATTTGTCTGCCGTTGTAATTGTTGTTTTAATTTTCGAATTTCTCGATGTAATGCTATAATTCGGCCTCTCAAAATATTTTTGCGCGGGGAATGATTGGAAATCTTTGACTCTGTTTGAGTGTACTGATGTTGTACATGCAACACTGATTCGACATGGTCCTCTTCATACACGTTATTTATCAAATGATTGTTATTATCTGTAATATTGAAAAGTACTAAATCAATTAAAAAACCCGAAAAATTAGTTTTATGTTCCATAGATATTATATTTATCTCAAGAAAAGAAGAAGCAAAATGAACAAAGAACAAGGAACGAAGACATAAATTGTGATAACATAAATTTTACATATAAATTTTAATTTATAATTCACTGAAACTTTTGTTACTATTAAGTTCCATACTGAACTAAAATTATTATCTATGTGTGATACTGATTGTTCAACCTTGTTTGAAAATCTGATTTCAAATAGTTGTTTAACACAATTAGATTTAATGATGTTACACTCAACTAAAATATAATAATTATATGTTCACCAAATTTCTGATATTTTCAACAAGTTCAAAATGCTTACCTGATATTGATGTATTTTCTTCAGATTTATCATTCAAATTGAATGTTGCATCATTTACACTTGATTCATTATCATTTCTCATAGGTTCGGGGATTGCATGTGGTTGAAGTCTGTTTTTCAAATCGTTTAAAAACATTGACGATTTAAAATGATTACCACAAACTTTATAATTTTTGTGTAAATTTTCTGGTGTCGTGTTAATTTTCCTATTACATTTTTCTAACCACAATTTTGCTCTGAAATACATTTTGTATAACGTATTACTGAGAACACTTGATATTTAAATTATTAACAAAAAAAGTTTTAAAAATAACGGATAAATATTATACAGCCAACATCCTCTGACGGAGGCACAATATAGCGGAAAATTTAAATTAAAATGTGTCCGGATTTTGGTGATGCACCCTGTATTAATTGTATGAAGTAATAAATAAGAAAGAAATAAAAATGTTGAATATTAATTATTTATTGGGTATAATTTACACATTATTTCGAAAACGTATCCTATACTCATCCATATTCTTGTGAAACAATATAATTATAGAAGTCGTGCATCTCTTCAGCAGAAACGATGTTTTTTCTTGGATCAGCAGGACTTTCACTGCTTTAAAAATAACAATTCAATGCTTTAAACATATGTCAAAGTCAAGGTCATCGGAGGGTGATCCCCTTTTGTCAATATTTACCCGTTATTTTTAAAACTTTTTTGTTAATAACTTTTTGACGAAGGACAAGCTACGACTAAAACCTGGAAGTTACAACATAGATTGACAACATATATCAAGGTCAAGGTCATTAGAGCTGCTTCCGTTATTGTCAAGGTTTATCTTTGGATTTAATGGAATCCGCCAATCAAATGCAAGAGTGCTCAGTGAATGGTTGTAGTACTAATTGCACTTGATCACTGAGCCATTGTTTTCTGAACGCAATAACCATTTTGGATTAGTGCTGAAATTTATTTGCAACTTTTAGCCAAATATAAAAAAAATTTTTTTTACAAAAAACATAGTATATGTATATACTAGTTCATATTCATATTCGTTTATAATACTTTAACAAAAAACGTCTTTGTCATACAATTTTCTTATCTTTTTGAATAAAATTGTATAACATGTAAATATAAACCAGTATTTATTTATTAATTGTCCTAGGCTGCATTACTGATGACTCTGACGTCTCTGTGTATCATTCTTGTTTAATATTAGATGAAAAACAAGGGTAAAACGATACACGAAGGCAGTAATGGTATTGATGCTACTAGTGAAAATTGCAATGAAAAAAAAGTAACTCAAAAGTAACTTAAAGATACTTTTTCAGTAACTGTAATGAATTATTTTTCAGAGTCAATAACTTATAACAGTAATTAATTACTTTTTGAAAGATAAAAACTGTATCTGTAATTAATTACCTTTATAAAGTAACTTTCCCATCTCTCCCTTATTAAGACTCGCTGCACTCTCGAAATAATCTTCCAAATGTTTCCATGATGAGGTAATTCGAATTATGAATGCAAGATAGAGTCAAGAAATGCTTTCTTACCATATACGTGGTTAATTAGGGAGGAGTAGAAAGATATAACACCGTTAAAATGGTATCAATTATATAACTCCGATTTATAATTTTAAAGAGTAATAAAGAGAAGAAATTAATTAATTAACGATAAATTAATTAATTTAACGTTATATTTATAAAAACGACTATATCGGAATATAAACTTACGTATTACACTGAGAAAAATGTTTTATATAAATATTTTAATTTGGACAATGGCGGTTAAAAAAACTTTGATTAAAACAATACAATTTTATATTTAAAAGATAAAAAGGTTTTTCTAAACATATCAAACGAATTATGATTATTCATATAAAACATTTCTTTCAGTATAGATATCATAAAGAGCGTTATTGAAAAAGAATCGAATATTAGTCCGGGAGATGATGACACTAAAATGGTCATGATTTGTTACCGCTTAAAATCGTCATAATTCGTCATTTATTAGGTAAACATGAAGGAAACGCAAGTATGGCAAACCTCCCGCGGTTTTAAAATTGATAGCGTGTGATTGAAGTTGTTAAAAATTTTTGGTTTTTTTCCTAATATGTTACCTGCTGGCATATGTTTCTAGTGATAGTTTACGTCAAAAAAATCAATCGGAAGGTACGTGCCATACTGTTTCTGTGGATCTAAGGGGCCGTCAAATCAAGCTAAAGTGGTAAATTTTTTAGTGCAAAAAAAAAAGATTTGTTACCGGCTGTTTTTTTGTACGTTACTTATTTTCACTACGAAATATACAAAAATACACATGCCATACCGTTTAAGTGGGCCTAAGAGGTCGCTATGCTCATCCTAACATGTCGAATTTTAAATGTTTTATTAAAAGTAGGCCCACTCAAACGGTATGGCATGTGTATTTTTGTATGTTTCGTGGTGAAAATAAGTAACGTACAAAAAAACAGCCGGTAACAAATCTTTTTTTTTTCACTAAAGAATTTACCACTTTAGCTTGATTTGACGGCCCCTTCGATCCACAAAAACGGTATGGCACGTACCTTCCGATTGGTTTTTTTGACGTAAACTATCACTAGAAACATATGGCAGCAGGTAATATTAGGAAAAAAGCAAAAATTTTTAACAATTTCAATCACACGCTACCAGTTTTAAAACCGCGGGAGGTTTGCTATACTTGCGTTTCCTTCATGTTTACCTAATAAATAACGAATTATGACGATTTCAAGCGGTAAGAAATCATGATCATTTTAGTGTCATCATCTCCTGCACTAATCCCCAAATGCCAATTTTTCGCTAAGATTCGCATTCGTTATCAACGTTAATCACAATTGCGTTGACATAGTCAATTTCTTGATGAACTCGTTGTGATGCACCGAAGAAGCGCCGAGCACTCGCTCGTTTGTAATTAGTCATTTTATCAACAGTCGAAAAAAAGAAAATGAAAAGACTCAAACAGGCTGACGTGACTTGGGTGTCAGCTTCACGTCCGACAACATAATTGAGGCGTATGCTAAGAGGCTGGATCGAGGTTGTCAGGTTGTAACAGTCTCGGTGTGGCAGTGCAACAATGACCGGCAGAATGAATGAAGCGAAGGAGAACCAACCGAAAGCTCCTTATAATCCGCGTATGTCTGCATTGCTGCGTGCAGCTCGGGGACTTTTGGCATTTAGAACGCTATATAGCGACTAGACAGCACAAAAGTGAAGCCTTGAAATTCAGGGCGAGGATCGCGATCGCCGATGTAAAATAGTTGGCGTACATTTCACCCTGTACATCGGATGTCTTTTCAACTGCAAAAACTAAGAGAGCTCGAGCCTAAAAATAGTGGCGGTTGCTTTAACGGCAATATCGCCGGCGTATGAAGTCACGTAATACCGAAGTTAAACCTCTCGAAAGTTAAATATCGTATTGTACGTGTGTAATTTTTAATAACGTACGTATTTCTGATGAAATAATTATCGCCGGCGAATAATTATTACTCCTTGAATAGTGACTTGCATTTGCACTGTTAGATAAGAAGTATTGACAATTTAATTTTATTTGCAGAGACTTCCGACGCCAAGATTTCTTACTGGCAATATCAAGTCAAAAATGACTTAAATCCTTGTGAATCTTGAGTACGTTTCGATGAAATAAATTTTTGAGGAATAACAAGCTGATACGAAGAGCTGCTTACGTTTTATAGAATGGATCGCAAATTACAATGCGATCCTTTTTTGGAGCAGCAACAATCTGGTGTACTTTCTTGCGATAAATGCCAAGACTTCCCCTTTCAGATAGCGTGCGAGACACGCTATCGCATATTGTATATACATCGTGTATTATGCAAAATTTTCTCGAGTTTTCAAACGGATGTTCTAAGCTGAGTTTATCATCCGCACGACAATTCCAAATAGGAGTCTCACGTGAGAACGAATGGCTCCTTTCAGACTCGTTCCGATCACGGGTTTATTGAGCTTCGGATTCTCTACAATCCACTGCCATATTATTAGCAATTTTCAAATTCGCGAGGGAACAATAATATATAGAAAATAGGATTCCTCCCCTGTTCCTCCATAAATATCAAACATTTTTGAAATTCCAGTGCCACTTCTTCGCTTCTCCCTCCCTCGCTCCCTCCCTCCCCCTCACTCTCTCTCTCTCCCCCCCCCTCTCTCTCTCGATGGTCTGATAGGAATGAATTTTGCTTTTGTCGACAATACTATTTAGAAAGTAGTGTTTGCTATCATTATTATAACGGTGTTGTTATCTGCAATAATACTAGGTAAAAGTCTACATTCCGGCACCCTAATAAATCTTAATTTATATGTCCTGTAATTTCGGCGTGTGTAACGGTTTTTTTCCTTCCTTTTTTCTCCCTATTATTTTCGATTCATATTTCAGAATTGTATTGAGCTGCTGAAAGTAAGCCAATATATTCGTTGTTTCGTTCTATATTTTCAGTCAATATTTAATCTTCTGAGAATCGATGTTTTTGATTGATTTTTATTAAGAACTAGAACTTTTGTCAATGTGGTTGAATGGCGGAAAAGGTGACGTCATTTGTCGAACCCCTAAAGGGACCTACGGTCCTCCAAAGGATAATTTCTTGTTCCTTATAGGTAATAGAAACTTTTTGTAAATTATTTCTTTTAACTTTCTTAAAATTTTTATTACGTTATATATTATCAATTATTAGATAACAATAAAAGTTTAAAAAATTTACAAAGTTATATCCTTTATGTAATATCCTGCATCGCGAGAATACGAGTGTTTTAATTATTTAATTCTTTGTTCTGAATATATTATAATACCTACTTCTGATAGAATTTCATTTTGTGCATAGAAAGAACATCTTAATTTTACTTCAATATATATTTGCTATGAACTTTACATAACTACGTGCCTCGAAATCGTTAGAGTGAAAGCTAATAATATCATTCCGACATCTTTCCGCAATCTGAGCGTGGAAAGGAAGATCTTTCGTGGTTCGAACCTAATTAAGACTACCATTCATTATAATATCTATCCGATTACAGGTTATGGTTTTGGTTTGTTGGAGACTTCGTGCTTATTAAGATTTTACCGTGGAGTCACTTTATGCAAAACCTATCGCTTCAGACATAATCAGTATATGTAAGAACGTACTGAGAAATACGTAAGCAAAAGGTAATGGAAG